CGAGTTCGATGTGCTCTTGGCGTGCACCCAGTCGCGAATGCGCCGCCGCGCCGCAACGACGACCGAACAGTGTGAATTGTTTTTTATGCAGTTAGCCGTGCTTAAACGTGCGTTTTGTATTGTAAATATTTGATTTAATTAAGTAGATACCTACATAATTTAGTATGGAAAAGAACAAGCGACGATCAATATCGTACAACAGCACAATTGCTGTTTTTGGTTGCTTGTACTCTTCAATAACACACCCAGAGATATCATTTTTTAAATTACCTGAAATATTGGAAAGGTGTCTTACCTTTATAGATTTTTTTTTATATACCTATCTACTAGTACGTAATTTGTTTCTAATATTTAGGTATTTCGGTTTTTCCATCGGGAAAAATGTCTGGAATAATATATAAATAAGTGGTTAGGATGAAAAAAGAGACAAACGAGTAATCTACCTACACTCGCGTTAAAAACAAAACTACATAAAATACTGTAGTCGGGCGGCCCTACCGCGTGCTCACGCAGCGCTCGGCTGTAGGCATTTATTTTCAAGGACAGGTCGGAGTCACAATACTGTATAGATAATATTACCGTGACATCACTTCATCCTTATCTATTTGAATTAAAAAGAGATCGAACGAGGTTGAATTATTATTTTGTTTTTAATTTGTTGCAAGTGGGCGTTTAATTGGTATCAATATAACATTAAGCTAAAAAGGTTTTTAAAAAAATTACTGCAAATCTGTTGACTTTAGTGTATCATGGTTGTGTTTTTGTCGTTGAGTAAGATACCAGGGCTCCACGGGGTAGATTAGATCAGGGTAGGCAACGTTGCGAGTGATATTTTTGGTATTGCAAGCAGACGCTTGGCTAAGGTGCCGCTTACCATCAGGTGGGCCATATGCATTTTTGCCACCCTTTTAACATAAAAAAAATTGCCTGGAAATAAAAAAAAAACAAATAATTCAAATACTTAATTGTTACGGCAGTCAACGGATGGACATCCAAAAATAATTATGATATCTTGAACTCCTCCTTACTTTGAAAGGCATGTTAAATAACTGAGCCCGGCAGAATCTGCGGTCATTATCACCCAACATTCCACACTGGGCCTGTGTGGCGTTTCTTTGTATGTTTTAGTCTCTATGGTAGGTCTACGACCCAGTAGTGAGGACATTAACAGGCTGATGAAGAAGTTCTTAGAAAAAAATAGTAGAATAAAAGAAAACGTCTGGTTGCATTCTGGGGGTGCCGGCAGAAGTCTAAGTTCAAGTTTTCGAATATTAATGTTGTGCATTTTTGATATTTTAGAATGGTTAGGGAATAATTTTGCACGAATTGCTTTAATTATCAGTATAAAAGTACTATCATTTATGTAGAATACAATATTTATTTATTGCGCTATCGTACACTAACATGACAATTTATATTGCATTAAAAAGTTTATCTCCCAGAAAAATCAACTTACATGAAATGATGGAAACATTCAAGCACACCTAGCGACATCTATTGTAAAAAAATGCATTTTCTTCGCAGTAAAGCTGCCACTTGGGCGTCCTAATAGGAGACTTATTATAATATTATGATAAAATAAAATATTACTATGTATCGACCAATATATTGTAAGTCAACAACCTTTCCAATGTTATTGTTTTCGTCTTACGAATTTTGGATTAGGCCACGTGTCCTGACGCGTGTTTAACAGTTTTTACCCATTACAAAAAATGTGTACAACGCCGCTAAAGAAGTTTTCACTTCAAAAAATATTTTACGATAGTATAGAAGCCACCATTTTGACTGACATTTATTATGTTTCTTAGTAATTGTATACACATTATAATGGTTCCAAATTCCAATTACAACAGGATAATGGTTCCAAAATATTCTATATTAAATTTTCAACATGTCGTTTTTACATGACAATACTTTCATGGGTTTCATATTGGAGTGAAAAGCCAATAATATACGCCGGGCCCAGAAATTTGTACTGTGTCGCCCGTCAGTGTCATAATAACAGATATTGTGAGTCGGCTATCCAAATTAATTCCCTTAACCTATCACGGCCGCATGCCCCCAGTCGAATGAACGCAACGTTTTTATGGTTCTTAACTATAGGAATTAACAATAACAAAGAGGAAAATTTAAAATATGCAAGGATCAAATATATTATACTTGCGAAATGGTTTCCAATATTAAGTACCTTAAGTTGTTATTGTTCTCATAAGCTACATAAAAACTTGAAGATTTTTTTAAGAAACTTTCCAAGACTTGGTGTATTACCTTGTGGTTGTTTGACCAGTCTTTTATAGAATGCCACGTCATTACCCGCAGTTCTGACAGGCATTAGGGGATTAGGTCCTCATAGTGCGTGTCGGATGACCAGTGCAGTAGTATTATCTGGTCTTTACTGGGTAGGTCCTGCTCATTTCATAGAGCCTTTCGAGCTGAATGAAATGGATAGGGAGAATTCTTCAGATACCCTGTTCGGGCTACTCTCGGTGGTTAAGGGAGGCGTAACGGCTTTTCCAGATATAAAAAAGTATTCTGGAGAAACGCGTGAGTGATCGGCTTCGTCATCATCATCATCATCAACAGCCTATCTTAGTCCACTGCTGGACATAGGCCTCTCCAAATGCACGCCACTCAGATCAATGTTAGGCTACTCGCATCCAGCTCCTGCCAGCCACCTTGCGCAAATCGTCACTCCATCGCGCCTGAGGACGTCCTACCCTACGTTTGCCTAGACGCGGTCTCCACTCCAAAATGAGTGAATTAATGCATCAGAAATGAGATAATCCAACAGAGAATCAGAGTTATCGGCATAGCCCACCGGATTAGCAAGTTGAAGTGGCAGTGGGCTGGCCATATTTGTCGAAGAACCGATAACCGATAGGCTTTGGTAACTTTAAAAGTAAGGCAAGCCACATGCTTTCAAATTAAAAATAAAATCGTCGAGAATAATCGAAAATGTAGCAGAGGACATCCGCGGATTTTTACCGACCAAAATTGATGATGTAATAATGAGGGCCGCGGCTCCGGGAACATTCCCAAAATCCGACGGGTATTGATGGATGTTGTGAGAACGATAGATTTGTCTGGATTGTAACACTTTGAAGTAAATTTTCTCGGTCTGTACGGTTTTGGCACAATGCCATCGAGTATTTTTTTTTGAATATTCACAATAGCGAGCCCCGGAAAGAATACCCAGGAAAATAATCTAGTACCAGTAGATGTTGTGATGCGAAATTAATAAAATCTTTTAAGTAAACACGGTCAAATGCAAGGAGGATTACTAGTTTTAAAATTTACCCTGTTTGTCTGTCTGTTTATTATGCAAAAACTCTAAATTTCAAAATCGTATTCAATCAATTTGTTTGTAGAAATAAGGGAAGGACGCAGACTAAATAACGCGAACACGTTAGTAAACCTTAAAACTACAATCACAATACAAAAAGTATATCACATATTTGATACACCATATCTTTGTTTTTAATCGAATGAATATAAAGAATTTGATACTTTTACTATTTGGGAAAGACAACAGCAGGCATGTTTCTTGCGCTTCAAATTTAATATATGATTTTTCAATTTTAACGATACCTATTACCTGTTTTATGGACCAGTGTAATAATTCTACCGCTCCGAAGTGTAACTTCCATAAATCTCGCAGTCATGTCGTAAAACGTTAAGACTAAGGCTGTAAATACAGGACTTGGAAGAGCGACGTCGAATTTATCATATCACCAAGAGTTCATTTATAGAACGATTAGTACTCCATTCAAAATTTCATTCGTAGTTTAAGGATAACTAAACTTATATTTTCACGTAAAATTCTGCATAACCTACCAATTCTACATGACGGCGTATATGAAACGAAAATGTATTTAGTCCGTCAGTTACAAGTTAATAAAATATAAATGAAACTTATTTTTTGATGATGAATATAAAGCGCGGCAAATTTGTAGAGTGGGGGATCGTGACATAACTTCTAAGTAAAAATGTACCAAGATGTGACGTCATACTACACACGAAACTAAAACGAAAGCATATTACGCTGCAGCGCACTAACCTAGACTATGAACAAAGCTGCACAATGTACAATTTTACGAATCCAATTTTTACTATATTATTAACGAACCCCATTATACTATAAAACTCTCCTCGCCAATACCGAAAGTTATGAATGGTATCGGGTGAAGGAAACCGCTGAGTTATGGTTTTCCATCAACTGTACCTAGATCCAATTTCATTAAGTGCCATCGTATTTCACGGTTTAGAACTCTGCTGGCGATTATTATGCCATCATGACATCGTCATGCTTATTGGAGCTGTGAAATACCGACATATTCGTTTTTTGAGCTCTCCATCTGATGGTTATGGGTTCGGTTGATGTACAATTCATAGTTCACGAGGTAATATCAAATTGCCATCTAAAACTTTTAAGGTAGATATTACTCGGTATTGTATAATTAAACTTTTATAGAGACAGAATTCTCAGGTGCAGGGTTCTCTAGGCCATATTTAATAGTATTGCGTTACAGTGTTAAGGTTTAATATGAGCGTGACTAGTTTATTATCAATTTTTAATTATGGTTATAAAATGTAAAGTGGCATAGAATGAATATCAGTATTTCAGTCATAATTTAATTCTGACTACAACATTAGCATGTAAATATTTAATAGAAGCATGATTAATCATTGATTCGAAAAGATTATGGTGTAAACCTCCGTATCCATGATCATATAAACTTGTGGATAAAATGCATTCATAAATGTTAAAAGAAACAATAATTACTGCCTTATGTACCTATCATTACATACTCGTACATTAGAATGAATACCGTAGTAAAAAGCTTACTCCAGCCAAATTATGTCCAAAGCATCGATTTCAAACTTTACCGTTTAGATTGATCTCAACATAGATTTGCGAGGCCACACCGGATCACTAAGTATTGTATGACGTCATAATGCTTCCACAACACGTTAAGCTAACCAATCTCTTTTAACCGCAGAATGAAGAATCGGTCCTGATTGGTGGGTCCTGCCAGATCCCCGACCCGCTTTATAAGGCGATTGGCTCCATCATCTGCTTCTACATACCTCTGGGCGTGATGTTGCTGACGTACGCTCTGACTGTGCAACTTCTGGCGAGGCAAAGGAAGGGGCTTGGTGCTGGATGGGCGGCAGGCTGGCTCGGTGCGCCTCCAATCGGTATTTATATAAGTGAAAGGCCATTTGAATGAGATAGAATTTTATGTATGTAATGTGAATGATAACGGAGAAGTAGGTGTAATTAGATTTTTAAAACCTCTGCTACCGAAGAAGAAGAACGCCGGCATCGCAAGCGTGATACTCCTGGTGTTGCAGGTGTTTATGGGTGACGGTGATCACTTACCATTGAAGGAGCCGTTAGCTCATTTATGCCCCTATTATATATAAAAAAGATGCCGATTTTGATAGTGCGTTCGCTCTATAAAAGAAAAAGTTAAGAAATTTCGTGATGGCTGGTCATCGAAGAGGTTATCCAAATTCACGATTATGCCCCTCTAACATGAGCACCGCGATATGATATAGCACGCGTTTTTATCACGCTCAATTGTCAAATTACTATGGAGGTTGACAGTTAGACGCGATAAAAACGTGATATAATTTAAATTGTGGTGCTCATGCTACGAGGAATGGTGTCACAAATTTGTTAGGTTTTCCCATTTAAAAAAATGCCCGTACCCAAAAAAGTTTTCACTTCAATAACGAGCCATAATTTATTTCCATCCCTCGAATGTGACTTCTGTAATTCACTTAGCGGGGTATGATAAATTGTTCTGAGGCAAATTGACGACATTAATGGAGAAATATAAATAAGTTCACCTCGAATTATTTTCATTGTCGTTAATTTATAACAATTAAGTAGAAGCAAAGAGTTTGCCCTCTGGACATAAGAGATAACAAAATTAATATCTTAGGCAGTATAACAAAAAAGTTATATATTAGATTATAAGACTTTGTTTGAGGAGCTCGATGGAGCAGGTGGTTAGCGCGTTAGGCCTGCGGTCGTGGAAGTTCAGTAACTTTCGAAATGGTCGGTCATTGGATGGGTGACAAAAAAGTTATTATTTCGAGCTCCTACGTGCTTCGGAAGGCCCGTTAAGGCGTTGGGCCAGGCTGCATCTGCAGTCGTAAGCACCTACAAATCCGCACTTGGCCCACGTGGTGGGTCACAGGCCAATCTCCCTAGTTCTTTTCTAGGGAAGGCCTGAGCCCTAGTACTGGGGACATCATAACGGCTGATAATCCACTTCGTTGGCGGTCCACCTATCTATCTTTCTGTAACCTTGAAGCTGTGCGGAAATAAGAGCTGACAGTTATGTCGCATATTTTGATAAGGAGGAGATCAAATCATTGAGGGTAATTCCATTTCACCTAGAACAGTGAAATAACTGCTGTACCAGCTATCTTCACGTTTGGACTTCACCATCACTTAACATCAAGTGGGGTGGAGTCATTTGTCGGACCTATCTATAAAAAAAAGATGAATGAATAAAACCATAACCTAGCAGGATTGTTTTATCTGATACCTCGGTATATAATGCCAATAAACACTTTTTACACACCCTTTAAAAAGTGCAGGAAATTGGTGCTTATACAGGTATAAACATAATTTTAGTATCTACAAAAAACCATTTCTGTTGATACTTCTGTCGTTATTGAGCAAATCTATAGCTCAAGTTATTACTGACTAAAAATGTCAAAACCATGATTCATCAAGGGGAGATTTCAACGCAAAATAATTTATTCCCGAATTTCACAGTACCAAACCACCATTACAAGGTTTTCATAAAAACGCAATTTTAACTAAATTAAAACGGAACTCGAAATCATAAATATTAACCATAAAGAGCTGTATGATAATAAATCGGCCGTAGAAACAATGCAGTTTTCATTCCCTAGGGGGCTGTTCATTGTTACAAATGCCTACATCCGCCTCAGTACGGAGGCATCGGAAATGTGTACATTCTGATTTCAATAGAGAAAATAGTTTTTTTTACTCAAAATATTCAAGTTACAAGCATTGAAGACAGAAGTGGCAAAGTGAAATATTTGATTGCCAGCTCAGAGGGTTATTATTTTCGCGGCAAAATTTGAACCGTATTTGTTGATTAGCAATATTTGTTTATATATATATATTTATACTACTCTAAGTTAGCGCAAACAGCAAAACATTTTTTTCACCCATCCCATATCATCTTAAGGCTAAGACGTCGTTTAAAGTGGCCACGATCGTACGCTGACACGATGCGATCTCGTCGTGCAATGAAAATTATCGTAAGATTGTTGAACAGGGGTGTCGCAACAGATCACACGTAAGCTGACACGATGCGATCTCCTCGTGCGATGAAAATAATCATATGATTGTTGAACAGGGGTATCCGAAACAGATCGTACGTACGCTGACATGATGCGATCTCGTCGTGCGATGAAAATTATCATATGATTGTTGAACAGGGGTATCCTAACAGATCGCACGTACGCTGACACGATACGATCTTGTCGTGCAATAAAAAAATTCGAACGATTATTGAATAGGCGTGTCCTAATAGATCGCACGCTGCCTATCGTGCGATGCTGTCGCCCAGAAGGCGCAAAAAGTTGCTTTTTAAAAAAATCCGTAGCCGCGCTGGGCCTCAAATCAGTCCAATTGGTGACATGTTGCCAAATCTACAGACCAAACTTTCTTCATCATTTCATCAGTATTGCTCCTCGCCCCGCTCTTCTCGTGCCCCACGGATTGCCATGTCCGTGCAATGACGCAAGATCAATTAGGATACTCAAAAAGAGATCAATATACCTATATTATTACTTGATCGTGCGATTAAACCCATCGTACGATCGTTATTAAAAAATACCTGTGCCCGTGCGACGACTGACGAGCTGCAGCTAGGGCACTTCTGAAGAAATCTCCATAAAGAAAACAAGTAATAGATATTCAACGTTTTTTTTACACCAATTAGCCTAGCTCCAAAGTAAGCACTATAAGGCTTGTGTGAGGGATTGCTAGGGTAACGAATAGAATACATATACTGTACATATATAAGTATATTTATATAGAAATACATATTAAACATCCATGACTGGAGTATAAATACTCATGTTCATCACACAAACACCAGCCCCCACCGGGATTCGAACCCGGGGACCTCTCGAGTCGGCGACAGCATGAAACCTGGCGTACAAACCACTCGACCACGGAGGTCGTCAACGTTATAGATGCACTGATTTATTTATTTAATGACGTTTCGTATCCTTTACAGGATGCTTCGTATGAATAATGAATTCATTATTCAGACAATAAATAAATCAGTACATCTATACCGTTGAAACTTGTTTTATTTAATGAGTGGTGTGCATGAAAACCAAAGAATGAAATCAATTTGTTTTAAAATCACACAACAAGAAAGCATCGTATCATTGTACGGTCGTTGTTCATTAGGATGACGCCTTATACTCAAGCGAGACATGGACATCAGACTCCATTCCGATTTTCCATACCCCGCCGGTCCAGGAGATTAGGGTAAATCTGAAATGACATCAAATTTAATCCCATAAGCTTTTAAGTCCATTAAGTTAACTTTCTCCCGATTCGAGAGGCACGCACTACCCAAAACTTGGACCCTACTCTCGCCCCTTGTTATATATTTAAGCACTCACGTGCGTATATTTATTTAGATCGTGTAAAATAAAGCAAATTTTCAATCGACTTTTGGTATACAAAATTAGGTAGTTATGCAAAACGCAATATATTTATTTATTTATTTAAACTTTATTGCCACAATTACAAAATGGATAAAAGGCGGACTTAACGCTAAAATTTTTATTTTTATTAGTCAACATGTTTTAAGTACATACTCAAAGCTGGCGACAAATCGACGAAGTTTTTCGGAAAACCCTCGAATGGAAAACAAATTAAAAAGTTTAAACTGCCTTTGATTGTAAAGAAAAACGGACCCGAGAAACTTCATAACCTATCTTAATTGAGGGTACGGATATTTACTAAAATCTAATGTTGTTATATCTATACTGTCATACTAAGAATCCTTCACACAGTTTACTGATTGACTGATTCAGAATATAACTAACTACTCGTATGTAACTGACCCTGCGAACTTCGTACCGCTTACAATAAGGAAATAATGTAACTTTTGGATTCTAAAAGAAAATTAAATAAAAAAAGTTGAATAGTTTAGTAGGATGATAATATTAAAGAAAATTAAAATACAATAGGAGCGGAGGAGCTCGATGGTGACAATGGTTAGCGCGTTCGGCTGCGATCGTTGAAATTAAGCAACTTTCGCAGTGGTCGGTCGTTCGGAAGGAACGCTAAGCCGTTGGTCCCAGCTGCATCTGCAGTCGTTAGGACCCGCCAATCCGCACTAGATCCGCGTGGTGGGTCATGGCCCAAACTCCCTATTCCATCTATAGGGAAGGCCTGTGCCCCAGCAGTGGGGACATTAATAGGCTGATGATGAAAATACAATAAAAGTAGTAAAGTTAATTCTGGACTGGATAATAAATGTCTTCCGCTCCCTCCGTAATCTTCGTTTCATTATTATGAGGAACAGATTTAAAATTACTTAAAGCTCCATTTTCCCAATTTAGTTCGACAACAAATCGTTAATTTCAACAAGCAATCTATGGCAGAAAGGCTGGAAATAATTAGACGACCTCCGTGGCCGAGTGGTTTGTACGCCGAGTTTCATGGTATTGCCGACTCGGGAGGTCCCGGGTTCGAAGTTTTGTGTTCCAGCATTTGTACTCCAGACATGGATGTGTAATATGTAGTGTACTGTGTATGTATTCTATCCGTTACCCTAGTATTCCATAACACAAGCCTTAGAGTGCTTACTTTGGGGCTAGGCTAATTGGTGTGAGTGTTGGAAATATTTATTTATTTATTTATGCGACATAAAATAACATTTAGTTTAACATAAAGTCAACGTGAAATCTAACGGGAGTTGGTTTTTTCGAAATGTTTCCTGACAAGGCGAGCGTGAAAGAGATAAACCAAACGTGGCGTCTGATAAACTTATCACGCCCCGTTTTAACGAATGGATTACTTACCGTTCCCGAATCCCCGCCAAATATACATTTTCCTCTTTCACGGTAAACTGTACCGTAAATAATTACGGTATAAATAAAACCTTGAAATATTTTCA